TTTTGATGAGGTAACAACATTATAACATGGCATAAAGGTCATAAGAGTCAGTTTCATGTAATATAGGACCTTTAAATGAGTAGACGAAAAATTACATTATTTCAAAATAATATTTCTCAAGTAGATATACAAAATATTTAACCAGGCTGGTACCACCTAGTGCCTCCGCTCAATTTCATTTCTCTCCAAAGACTAGGTCAGGAATCAGAATACACTAGACAATTTGCAAGAACCCCAGAAGTTGTAGACTGCACACTGGCCAATCAGCGAAGAGCTGTGAAGCCATGAAGTCAAACTCAAGCGCCTGTCTGGGTCCCTTTTGTGGTACAGCACAACAGTAAACAAAGCGGTCGAGATGGATGTAGACGAAGACATACATTTTGTGTTGGCAACGATTCCCGAGATCGAGGATTTAAAGCACAAACAAAGGGAATGTTTGGTGAATTTTATCAAGGAGAAAGATGTTATTGCCCTTCTTCCTACGGGATTTGGGTAAAGCTTAATATACCACTTAGCCCTGTTAATGGTGCATTACATATGTCACGACAAAATAGCACCGATTGGTTAAATTTAAAAAAGTACCCGCCTACTGTCGAGCAAACGAATCCTAATGCTGCAAGGTCAGATGGTTTCCATAAAGTGAATCAGGCTAGAAAATAGTGCCCCAAGAAAGTAAAAAAGTAATTGGGAAAACTACTACTTAAGTAAGAGTAACTATCTGGACTGATTTATAATTTGAATTTAATGTAATTTGAAGAACAGAGCATTAAATAACGCACAGAATCTGATATTTTCAAAGTATAGACACAAAATTTGCCAAAAACTAACCTTATATCTGAAGCGGTGTTGCAAGAAACACAAATGTTCAAATCATTTCATATTTTCAACATAAAGCTTTGTCACTTTAGTCACAGTGGGAAGAGGAACCAAAACTTTTACTCAAGTAAGAATACTGTTACTTCGATAAAAATATCACTCAAGTAGGAGTATGCAAGAAATGTACTCTGATATGTAAGCGAGTACTACGCACCTCTCCTCTTACTTGAGTAAAAGTTGAATATGATTTAGTTTTCTTCTCATTTTTGTGCATTACTTCATGTTTCGTCCTTATAATAACATCTCATTATAAACCTGATTTAACGTATAGAGATGAATTCTTTGACTTGTCTCCCATTTGGATTAAAGCCCTGTCAGATCAGTGCGTCTCTGACAAATAGTCTCTTACAGCTGGAGCGGCACATGATGAATTTTAATTATAACTGTGCACTAAGTAGAAACTGATGCAAGTACAGTGCAGTGTCCTTGGCTCAGTATGATGTAAAGAGGGAGTTTTTGAGGTCAAAGTCTCATTTATGTCTCATCACTTTGAAATACAGCGATTCCCGGGTTGCACTTGTAAATATATTCTAAGTTTAGTCCTAGTTTAGTCCTGATATAAACTTGTTTTGGTCCTGTCCTGATTTAATCCTGGTCTAGTCCTGGTTTAGTTCCAGGTTTAGTCCCAAAATAGTCCCAGTTTTGGTATGATGTGTGTGTTAAAGGTGCACTGTGTAACTTAAACCTTTCTATTTTCAACTGAGACCAAACCAGACCAAGTTACAGGTCAGATCTGTGGAGAGGCGACCCAGCTCACAGTCAGAATCCTTGTTTTTCTAGGTATTTTTGAGCAATAAAACTACTTTTTAATGCCATACTATGTAACATTCCAAGCAGAGCAATGACATATCCATAAAAATAAGCAGGTGAAGGACCCCTAACAAAAAAGTTACACAGTGCAACTTTAAGAAATGTATGAACTGATGCTTTACTGATGTCATCAAAATTCCATGTGGGGCGTGATTGTAACTAGAGGCACTGCTCTGTCAGAAGCTCGAGTTAGACTTTAATGTGAGCTTCATTTTACCACAATCTGACATAGTCTCTCTCTGACATTTTTAGTTGAAAATCAAACATCAAACAAATGAAACTAAAAATGTGTTGCATAAATCCATTTTGTATTTCTTCAGCTTTTCAGATTTCTTAAAACTTAGGCCCCATCCACACTAATACATATTCGAGTCGTTTTTGGTGTGGATGCAGTGTTCGTTCACACTAATCTGATGGAAAACGGCTCCACAGACAGAATGATCTGGTGCTGCCAGCTCCCACAAATTCTTCTGAGTACAGATCTGATCCGGTGCTGTGTGGACGCCTGAAAACGTTGATACGCTGACGTAGGCCTGTGCACCGCAAAGTAATTCACCGCCAAAACGCTTTGACTCGAGGGCCACAAAGGGTTCTAAAATTTGACGGAAGGGCCAGACTCGGAGCGGATAGATGGAGTTTTTTTGTAATCCACCTCATAAGAGAAAAAAAAAACAAAAAAAAAACTTAGAGCATATGTAGAAAGCCAATGTTATTGAAATATCCCATAATTGAAAATCATTAAAAAGCATTAGAACAAAATATGTCTTTCAAGTCCCATGGTATTTACTATTTATTTAAATTACTTTTAAAACACTGGAAATTAACCCAGTTAAACCAATGAACCAATATGGCACCCGGGCCGTAGTTTCCCCCCCCCCGGTCTGTGTGTATGACCTGCAGACGTATAATCTCTAAAAATTTTAACATTAACCATCTTCAACGTCACAGAAGGAACACATATAATCCACTGAGTCGTGTCCTTTAGTCCAACAGAAGCGCAACCGCATCAGCGCAGTTAGTTTATGCAAATTAGCCATGCGGTTTTAAGTTTAATTTCTGTAAGATGTAAACAAATATGCTCAAAGCTGTGTGGATAGGGAAGACTTACACAGAAACGACGTGCGTGGATGCAAATCGTTTCAGATACAGTAATACGGTGATACAGTGATACAGCGATTCATTTCAGTGTAAACCTTAGTAGCCTTAGTCGGCAGTGTTTGTTAAGGTGTGCATTCTGTCACCATGGTAACTGCCGAACATTCCATAGACATACATGCAGTAAGACAAATACACAGACTCCAGATATCTTTATAATTGACTTCTATGTTTCTTCCACGACTTCTATTGTATTGTACATTGCATTTCCTCATACAGTTTATAGCCCATTCCCATAGTGCTGACCCCTAAATACCCTATATTTAGAAGAACTCATCTAAGTACTATAATCTTTCCATGCCATCCTCTCCTGTGTGGGTTGTACATCACTGGTGGGGGTAAACAGCCATGGGGCAGTTTGTTTGTGCGTGTGGTGCCAAAGGGGGGACAGTATGGGGGGAGAAGAGAAGGAGGAGGAGAAGAGAATGAATGAAGAGAGGCTGGGGAAGGGGAGGAAGAGGAGGAGAGGGAGGAGGGGGTGATGTATGGAGCACGTTTCATTAGTTCAGGGTGAGCGGGACGGGCCTATAACGTGATGTATGCGCAGCGTGGGGCAATTAGGAAGGTAAACAGGAGTAAACACACACAGATGTTACGGGAGAGGGGCGGGCTGGAGGGGGTTGGGGAGGGGGGGGGGGGGGGGGGGGGGGGGGGCGGTGTCTGGAGCCTGGACCTCTTCCAGACCACATTAATCGAAACACAAAACATGTACGGGACACATATTAAGCCAATTATTGATCGGCCAGCGGGCTCTAGCAGCGCCAGACGGTTTCCATTAGGTCAGTTAGTGGAGGTTAGTTAAACTTAGACTCCATAATGGTGTTTGTAGTTCATTATAGAAGTTGTATACTGTTGAATTTTGGTTTTAAATGTGCCTAAATAAAAAAAGTACTACATTTCTCAGACTGTAAGTAGCACTTTCTTTCATGTGGTGGTGATGGAGTGGTCCTGTGACTTATACTCCGGTGCGACTTATATATTAACATTTTCAGACTGACAGCCATGAGAGGGCGCTCTAGACTTGTGTGCCAGTGTTTTGCGCATATCTCCTCCAGAACAAGCCACTGTCCTGATGCAAGTAGTGAAATATGCAGCCAAAAACAGTAATCGAGCAGCAGAAAGAAAGTTTGGAGTGAGCGAGAAACTTGTAAGGGACTGACGGAAAGCAGGAACGGAGAACACAGCTTCACAGAAACTGGAAGGGTGCACCATGTAACTTTCCTGGAAGTCACTGGATGACAAAGCTTGGACTTCAATGACAACCAAAGTTGAGCGAAGTTGCTCAGAAGTGACACCAAGGATGAAGCATTCAATGGATTTAATGGATTTAGTGAGTGAGATCGTGCATTTGGTAAAATTATCTTTTGTTGTTTATGCTATAATTATCTGAATAATTGTTAATATGTTACGTTAACATATTAACGCCTATTCAGCCTGTTGTTCCCTATTCTATTGTTATTACTATACTTGCCTTTAAAGATGAAATGTTGGTTCCTGGTCCCTGATTTTATAAAATAAATGTCCCCCAAAAAGTGTGACATATAGTTCAGTGTGACTTTTTTTTTTTCTTCTTCTTCATTATGCATTTTTTGGCTGGTGCGACTTAAACGGAGCGACTTACAGTCTGAAAAATATGGTATTGTTATTTACCTACACTAATCCCCAGTCAGCTAATTGTCAAAATGTATAGTAGATGTTTTATTTTGATGCGCAGACTATCCACAAACCAAAGCAAAATTAACAAATAAAAATCATTTTAACACTATCCGAGTTCAATGCATAACCAGCAAAGTGTAACATTGTTGGTGGGACGTCCGCCATCTGCTTCTCGTCTCTATGGAGGTGTTATTGATTTGCATGGAACACCCCATAATATTGCATTAAACTTACATATCTCTGTCTAGGTGTTTGATTGCTTTAAAATACATCGGAAAAAAAGAAATACTGTGATAGGGGTTGCCGATATGTAATTCATCAAGATGGTATTACCTGCTTATTAAACATCTCCATGGAGAGAAGCAGGTGGTAGACAGTCCAGTAAGGTTACAAAATGATGCTGAAATAAGCATTTTCGCTTTTCCTATATGCATCTACGCCTCCTTGTATGTTTCTAGTAACTACGGTTCAGTTATTTCTTTATAAGCAGAAGAATAACTTACTGTTCTGCAATAATGTATCCATCCTCCACAGGGGTGCAGCGGACTCCAGCCACCTCCACATTGTTGACCATGTCTGAGAAGGACAGACCCAGGTTTGTGCCTAGGATGGTCACCCGCGTACCGCCCTCTGGTGGTCCTGCCATCGGGGTCACCTAAAAGATCAAATTTTAGTGTTTAGTTTAGGGATTATTGTGAGAAAAAAAGCACACAATTTAACAATTCTTCACGATTATTGACACCAAAAGTGAAATTATTAAAATTTTCTTTCATTTTCATTATCAAACAAGTACACTACCAGTCCAAAGTTTTAGAAGACCCTGATTTTTCCAGTTATTTATTGCAATTCAAGTCATGCAGGTCCAATGAAGAGCTTGAAATACACAAAGTACAAAGGTAAGTATTGAACAGACAGAGGTTAAAAAAAAGATAAAAGATACAAAAACACAAGTCCAAGCTCTGCCAACACTACCTCAGGAAAAAAGAACAAGAAAGTAAACTTGAAAACATGAAGTGTCCAGCACAGTCTCCAGACTTAAACCCCATCGAGCTGGTTTTGGATGAACTGGACAGAAGAGTGAAGCGACCTACAAGTGCCACACATTTATGGGAACTTCTGCAACAGACTTGGGAAGAACTTTCTGAAGAATATTTAATTTCTATTGTAAAAAGAACGAGCCACGAGTGTGTTCAGCTGTTATATCTGCCAAAGGTGGACACTTTCATCAATCAAAAGTTTAGAATATGTTCTGGTCAACAGTAAATAGTAAAAAGTGCATGTGACCTGGTTTATGAAATCAAACTTTTCTGAAAGATTAAGTAAATAAAAAAGCACCTTACACCTTGAATTGTACTTTTTGGCATGTAGATTGAATTCAAATGACTTAATTCTGTTTCTAATGATGATTATTGTTAGCTTTGACAATTAACCAATAATCTTGTCACTAAAAGAAACATACAAAATGACAGAAGTTCTTTTTATTTTCCATTTAATGTGTGATGATGTGAGGTCTCTGTGTGTGCTCCAGGCTACACACAGGTAGTTGTAAAACCAATTAAAGGCACTGTTCATGAACTGGTCCACGACATGCAAAGAGCCGCTGCGAGTCACTGTGCCAAAAGCAATCATCTCACCAGGACCCGGAGAAAGAAGAAAATACTGCAGAAACGTCTATATATACAGAAACTCTACAATTACAATGTGATAATAACAGCAATAACATATTCATAGTGACCTTTTACCAAAAAAAGGTACAAAGTAGGAACTGATTCATTCTATTTTTGAATAGATGTCAACAAATTGTATTGCTGTGTTAATTTGCAACTATTTTATTCAAGGTTTTTTTTACTTAAAATTTTTTTATACATTTTAATCAGCAAAAATTTCACATTGACAAAAACGATGCAAAAAATGTATTTGTTGAAAAATTATCTTTTAACACCGGCCTAATCCCGTTGCCGCTGGAGATAACCTAACAAGGGGCCGCGCTAATTCAGACGGCGGACCACCTCATAAAGTCCAATATGGCGTCCCAGCACGACCTTGGCTTGGTGTGGCCTAGCTCCTTCTGCTCAGCTCCCCACTGACCTGGCAAAAGTCCAGACACTTCCAACAAGAGGAGAAAGGGGACACGGAATAGACAAGGAGACAAGAGAGCAAGGGAGCAAGGAAGGAGGGAGGAGACAGGCTACCCGCGGTGAGGAAGAGGAGGGCACTGGGCTAGAGAAGATGACTGCCACTTTGCTGCTGGTGCTATATAAACAATCAATATGCTATTACTGGCAAGCAAGCGGAGAGGAAAAAACTCAGAGTGCTTGCTTACTGAACTGAGAATCCCTGAGCGGAGACGAGGGGTGGTTGGAAAATTGCAAAACATATGATCTAAAGTACACATATATACACAGTAAGGATATTTGTGGGGGTTGAAAATGGTAAAAAATAGTATACACAGACTACGAGCCACAACTACTTTGGACTAACTGGTGAAAATACAGCTGCAATTTTAATTTAATTTAAGATTGATCGCATATCACATTTAAACATCTATACAATGGCATTATTTATTGACTAGAGATGGAATTCAAGACTAGAGATCGATACCAATTGTTTAAAATCTAGAGAAACCACAGACTGATAAGTTCTGCCGATATTTTGGGCCTTTATGTACGTCTGAATTTGGTCATTTTACTTTCACCTATTAACAAATTAGATCATTTAAGTAACTACAAACTGGATAAGAGAGCTGTGTAGTATAATTTTTGCAGTACTCTCTTTGGACTCAAGTGGTCAAATAAAGTTTTATGCAATATTCTTGATGCACATGGAGGCAGCTGGTTCAACAAAATATCGGGGTGTGCTGGAGATTTAAGATCCATAGCAATAGAAAGTAATACTACTGAATTAGATATACTGGCCAATTTATTTATCTTTATTCAAGACAACCATTGAGGATTTTGTTTTGTGTATGTCTTAGAGGCACACAAAATTGTCACATTTTAATAGAGTTAAGGTAAAGTTAAGGTGCATTTTATTGTCCCCTTAGGGAAATATGTCCTCCTCTGGCAACCTGACAAGAGCAGTGGAATCCATCTCCAAGGGGCAGTCCGGAATTTTGGACATAGGACCTCATTTCCTGGTTAACCAGAATATTGGAGACGTGTGGAGACACTTTTCAATATTCCAATATTCCATCCAGTTCTTGTATTTGCAGAGGTTGCTGGTGCTAGGCTAGTGCATGTCAATGGCCACAGTTAACCTGTCACTAAAAACAATCTTACTCACTCCACAAAACACCCAAAGCAAATCTATATTACACCAGACTGTCGACATAAATGTCTGTGTTGATAGAATAATGTTTGAAATAAAAACTAACCTTGCATCACATGAATTGTCGCATGTTGAGGGACTATTTTCTCAGCAGCAATGGAATTTTACTTTGCCGGTAACATAGGTGCTAGGTGATATCAGTCCGCCGCTGCAAAGCTTTCTATCAGGAAGTACAACTCAACACAACACAAACATTTACATCAACAGTCTGACGTAATAATTCGGGTGTTTTGTGGAGTGGGTAAGACTGTTTTTAGTGGCAGGCTAACTATGGCCATTGACATGCACTAGCCTAGCACCAGCGACCTCTGCAAATACAAGAACTGGATGGAATATTTTAAAAACTGTCTCCACACGTCTCCAACACCCTGGCTCACTAGGAAATGAGGTCTTACGTCCAAATTCCAGACTGTCCCTTTAAAGCTAGTCTTGGTCAGGAGTATCTTAGCTGGAGGATTTGACCGAGGCCTGTTGTGCATGGTTTGGGCTGACAGTAATCAAGTTTGATAAAGGGTCTTCACAAAAACTTTATTATTTGCCTAGAATTTTCCACAGTATGGCCTTAAATGTATCCATCTCCCTATAGGTGTTTTATTACCTACAAGACTGTGAACAGACTTGCCTCTCCACAAATCTGACATGTGACTTGCTTTTGTCCTTGTAGATATATAAGTTTAATGCCATACGACGTAACATTCTATTCAAAGCAATAACATCTACATGGAGGCGAGTAGGTTGTCGATCCTCCACAAGAAAAGTTACACAGTGCCTCTTTAAATTGTCCACACTCATTACTGTATATTCTCCACTCCGCAGCGCTCCTATGGGCTTTGTAATGTACAGTGAGTGGACATTAATTGTTCTGGATGTAGAGTAAGTGTGTCACCGCGGCGCCCCGGGCTGGAGAATACATGAATCTTTTAGCACTGCTCAGGCACGCGGGGAGTAAGAGGCAAAAATACTCTGAATGGCTAAATGTATCTTTGTCCAGAGAGTTTGTGACGGTTACATAAGCAGTAAAAGTACCTGTGAGCAGAGGTGAGTAGAGGAGCCTAAACTGTAAGAGTACTGCTACTTTAAAGTGACTAATTATTGTTTGTTGAGCAGTTTTGTTTAGATTAATTTAGTTTTCTGAAACTGCAAGAAACACAAATGTTCTAAGAATTATTGTCGTCCTTAAAAGCACACTATGTCACTTTGCCTCTATGGAGATGTTACTGCTTTGAATCTGTGTATCACTCGTTCATGCCTTTTTCAAAATAAAACCAAAGATAAGAAAAGAAAAGAAAAAAGGAAACATTTTCTTCATTTTTTGTCTCCTAAACCAAAATGAAAAAATGGATAATGATCCATTTTTCAGTTTTCCATTTTGTGTTTAAATGAATAATGGGAAAAAACAGATAACGGCCATTTCCCGTTTCTGTGACTTAAACTGCGATGCTGGACTTTTGCGCAACATACGGACTGAACCAGGACTAAAACACGTCTGGGACAAGACCGGGACTAAGACCGGGCTGAGACCGGGACCAGAACAGACTGAGACAGGGACCAGAACAGGATTGAGACTGAGACCAGACCAGGACTGAAAATGGTTTGGTCCTGGTTTAGTCCTGGTTCAATCCTGGTTCAGTCCATATGCGGTGCAAACGTCCAGCATCGCAGTTTAAGTCACAGAAACGGGAAACGGACGCTTTTTCCATTATTCATTTAAACACAAAATCAAAAACTGAAAAAAAAAAAAAAAAAATGTTATCCATTTTTTCATTTTGGTTTTGGAGACAAAAATCGTTTTCTTATTTTTGGTTTTATATTGAAAAACAAATGAACGAATGATACACAGATTGTTTTGGTCTTTGTTTCTTTCTCTTTTTTTTCTTTTAATTTATATTCATTGTTTTTTCATCCTATCTTCAATATTTACTTTTAATTTTTGACACATATTAATCAGCAAAAATGTCCAAACTGACAAAAATTACGCAAAAATAAATTTGTTGAAAAGTGAGTATAACGATTTTTTATTTTATTTTTTTTCAGTTTTCAATTTTGGTTTAAATGAATAACAGAAAAAAATTAAAAAATAAAAATAACGGCCTCACAGCAAGAAAGTCCTGGGTGGCATGGGGCTTTTATGTGTGGAGTTTTTTAATCTAGTAGTTGTTACTAAAATTGTTGAATTATAGGCTGGCTCCTTGCTGCTCTCCACTGCTTTTGAGCATTGCTATGTCACTCTTTTTGGTCACTTTTGTTGCTACTTATATTATAAAAAACGTAAAACCAAATAAAATGAAGACAGCGGTGTTTGCATGTTCTCACTGTGCCTGTGTTTGT